GAGAAGAGATGATAATAGGCAAACTTACGTTTGGTAAGTTGTTTTAAAGTATGAACCGGTTGAGATACCCTTCACCCAATCCATACTCGATCCTATTTAATAAAATTCATGTCGCAATGCATAATATTGATTGAAGTCGTAAACCTCTCTTATTTTTCTTAGCTACTCTCTATGTGGGCTTATAATATGGCAGCACATATAAACGATACCTAGTGGATCAGAAGCAGCTTCATGTAGATTGGAACCAAGGGCTCATGAAGAAACAGGCAGCGCGAACAGATCCAACACAAAGGTCCCAATGAGATCTTCACGCAGGAACAGTTCATACCGTATTCAGATCATACAAACCAGAAGCAGAGACATGGTGGCACAGTAAACCATCATCATTTACAGTCCACAATTATGCCAAGCTCAGCATCTTTAGTGATACTTGTGGAAACCACAAACTTTAAAGGAAACTAAATAAACAAAGAAGCAGCATGGCAAGTAACACCATAGCGGAGAGTGTATAAGTAGTGAAGTGTAAGCAAGGACTTTGATAAATGCGAGATATACTACTGAAGGTGGCAATATGGAATAATGAGTTTACATTATCTTCTTAACTTGTCACGTATTTCACAGCTAGTATAAAATTAATATGGAAACTCAATATGAACAGTACGACATCCAATGATGCCGTAGGCTTGCGTGTACAGAAATGAATAAACGCTAGCCAATTGTATTGTTTCAAGAATAGTCAATTAACCGGTAAGAGGAATGCAACTTGGTACAAACTGAACATAGTAAATTTCGTTAAAACGCGATCGATAGTATCAAGGAGAGTTGGTTTTAAACGTCACTGCAGTGGATCACAAGATGCGACTTAAAAGCTAATGACGAAATGTAAATATTTATACAGTAAAAAACGGTGCATTGAGCTCAAGGCCGCTTAATAAAAGGCAGAGGCTGTATCTCCATTTTCGGCCTCCTTCCACAATTACTTCTCCCACCGACAGCAATTTTACTGAAAACCCCAAAAGCTTTTCAGGCGATCTGAATAAGCTTGAGGAGGAATACATCTAATCTCTACACAGCACACACACACACACACACACACAACACATCCACAGAGAGAGAGGATTAATGCCAGTGGAAGCAGCATTCGATGATTTGTGCACTGGCTGATCCTAAACACATCTCTCTCTTTCTGCATACAGTCATTTTTCCAACACCTCTTCATTCATCGAAAACAAACAGTAATTTAAACACCGGCATCATTTGGAGTCGTCTGTTCATTTGATTTAATTTACGTGAAGGAGAGGAGAGATTTACTCTTTCCTTTGCCTCAGTAGTTTTGGAAACTACTGCTTCTCTACCCTCCAGGCTACAGCCCATGTGTTTCTTGTTTTTAGTCCTTTAAGGTTTGTGGATACCGTCCTCAAGTGTTGCTACTGGACTGTGTTTACTGTAAGCTCTGATGTAGGTTGTGAACAGGGCTGTGTGGGTGTGTTCAGAGTGTAACAATGAGCGTCTGAGACATGTTTATGTGTAAATGGGTGCGGGCTCATAATTATTGCATTGCGACATGAATTTTTAGATTGTGTTTATCTCAAACCTCACTTACAATTACCAACAGTTCTTTCTCCAAGTGCTGTGAACCATACTGGTAGTCTGCTGTACTACAACCAGAGACAGGAGTAGGGATAACTACTAGTATTTTTTAAATAATTCATGTTTTCTGCCCCATTATTTAATTGTCTTTTGTAAATAAATATGCTTGTTCACATGATGGAAACTCATCTGTTGTCCCATCTTTGTCGGAGCCAGGATCTCTCACAACACGAGTCACAATCACACCCCTAGAATTGTGTTTATTAGTACCAGATACGCCTTTTTACCCAAATAATTGTCCTATTCTTTGGTATAAAACCTTCTTAATTCTTCATAAATCTTC